GATCTGTTGGATCTCTCTCCCACAGTGTCTGGCTGCCTGTGAGGTATTGCTCTATGGCTGTCTTCTGTTGTTTCTGTAAGGATTGTGAGTATTTTGTATCACTGGTATCTGTGCAACATTAGCCTCTGCTGAATCTATCCTTGATCAGAGTATAATACTGTTCACTGATCCCCATCTGATCTCAGATGTTTATGTGTTTATCTGTAGCCTGGTGTTTGGTGTTAATGATAATGCAGTATTATAGATATAATGGTGTATCTGTCATCTATATCCTATGTCTCGGAAGGAAGATGGGGCAATCTACTTCCATAGTGATACTGCCTTGGAAACCCAAGGAGGAGTCGCTATGAGTTGGGTCCGACTCAATGGCACATAACAACAACAACAACATATCTTATGTGCATAACTCGGTGTTCTCCCTTTCCCCAATGTTATCATGGTGGTAACAGACTCTTTCCATACCATCCCTCTCCATGCCCACCTCAGCATGTGGCCAACTAGCCCTAAGTTATTCCCTCCCCTTCCCTCCCCACCCCGGTAACCTACAAAGTGAGTTCCCTTCCTTAAGCAAATCAGTCCTTGTCTTTTTAAGTAATGGGCCCATACAATATTTGTCCTTCTGCAACTGACCTATTTCATCAGCATAAAGTCCCATAAAGTCACACAATGGAATACTATGCTACATTAAAGAACAATGAAGCATATGCAAATCATCTTCTTTATTCATTCTATCCAACTCTCACATGCATATGAGACAATTGAAAATATCATATCTTGTGTCAGGCATACCTTAGTCCTCAAGAAGACATCTTTGCTCTTCAGCATTTAAAAGAGGTCCCTTGTAGCTGACTTGCTTAGTGCTAAACGTCATCTGATTTCCTGACTGCTGCTTCCATTGGTGTTGATTGTAGAACCAAGCAATGTGAAATCTTTGACAACTTCAATCTTTTCTCCATTTATCATGATGGTGCTGATAGGTCCAGTTTTATTTTCTTTATATTGAGAATATAAAGAATATTTTGCCTATAGAATCTTTCAACATTGCAACTTGAGGCTTAAATTTTTTCCCCAGTTCTTTTAGCTTGAGAAATGCTGAGTGTGTTCTTCCCCTTTTCTAACTCCAGGTCTTTGCACATTTCATTATAGTAATTGGCTTTGTCTGCTCAAGCTACTCTTTGAAATCTTCTGTTCAGCTCTTTTATCTTGTCATTTTTTCCATTTGCTTTAGCTACTCTCCACTCAAGGGCAAGCTTCAGAGTCTCTTCTGTCATCCATTTTGGTCTTTTCTTTTTTTCTTGTCTTTTTATTGACCTCTTGCTTTCTTCATGGATGATGTTCATGAGGTCATGATGTTCTTGATGTTTACTTATGTTTTATTAACTAGGCAAAAGCATTTGATTGTGTGGATCATAACAAATTGTGGATAACACTGAGAAGAATGGAATTCCAAAACAACTTAATTGTACTCATGAGGAACCTGAACATAGATCAGGAGGCTGTCATTCGAACAGAACAAGGAGACACTGCATGGTTTAAAATCAAGAAGGGAGTGTGTCAGGGTTGTGTCCTTTCACCACACTTATTCAGTCTATATGCTGAGCAAATAATTTGAGAAGCTGGACTATAAGAAGAACGTGGCATCAAGATTGGAGAAAGAATCATTAACAACCTCGATACACTGATGACACAACTTTGCTTGCTGAAAATGATGAAGACTTGAAGCATTTACTGATGAAGACTGAAGAATACAGTCAGCAGTATGGATTACATTTCAAATATAAAGAAAACAAAACTCCTCACAACTGGACCTATAAGCAGCATCACTATAAATGGAGAAAAGATTAAAGTTGTCAAAGACTTCACATTGCTTGGTTCTACAATTAATGCCAATGAAAGCAGCAGTCAGGACACCAGATGACGTATAGCACTGGGCAAATCGGCTGCAAAGGACCTCTTTCAGGTGCTGAGGAGCAAAGATGTCTCCTTGAGGACTAAGGTGTGCCTGACACAAGCCATATTTTCAATTTCCTCATGTGCATGTGAGAGCTGGACAATGAATAAGGAAGACTGAAGAAGAGTTGATGCTTTTGAGTTGTGGTGCTGGCGAAGAAAGCTGAAAGTACCATGGACTACTAAAAGAACTAACAGATCTGTCCTGGAGGAATGCAGCCAGAATGCTCCTTGGAAGTGAGAATGGCCAGACTTCATCTCACCTACTTTGTGATAACTTTGTGTTATCAGAAGGGACTGTTCACTGGAGAAGGATGTCATGCTTGGTAAGGTGGAGGATCGACAAAAGAGGGGAAGGCCCTCAACAAGATGGACTTACCCAGCGGCTGCAGTGAGGGACTCAAGTATAGCAGGGATCACGGAGCTGGCACGGGACCAGGCAGTGTTTTGTTCTCCTGTGCAAAGGGTCACTATGAGTCAAAGGTGACTCAACGGCACCTAACAACAACAACAACAAACATCTTTCTGGTATTCTTTGTTTTGAGCCAAGATCCATCTGACATGGGCTATGATATCCCCTTGTTCCACATCCTCTTCTGAATCCAGCCTGCAACACTGGAAGTTCTCTGTCAATATAATGCTGCAACCATTTTTTAATTATCTTCAGTAAGATTTTACTTGTGGGTGATATTATGATACTGTTCGATAATTTCTACATTCTGTAGGATCAACATCAACATTTCCTTGGAATGGGTACAAATACCGATCTCTCCCAGTCAGCTGGCCAGGTAGCTGTCTTCCAAATCTCTTGGCATAACTGAGTGAGCGTCTCCAATGGGGCATCTGTTTGTGATTAACATAGATATGCATATTGTCTGTTCAGGTACTGTGTCTTACTTCTTTAGGATATATTCCTAGTAATGGAATTGCTGGGTCAAATGGTATTTCTATTTTCAGTTTTTTAAGGAAATACCGTATCATTTGCCACAATGAATGAACCACTTTAAAATCCCACCAGCAGTGTATAAGAGCTCCAATCTCTCTGCAACCTCGCCAGTATCTGTTATTTTCTGTCTTGTTGAACTTTGCTATTATTGCTGGGGTGAGATGGTATCTCATTGTTGTTTTGATTTGCAACTCTCTAATGACTAAAGATTGCGAGCAATTCCTCATGTGTTTGTTGGTCACCAGCATATCGTCTGTAGCGAATTGACTGTCACGTCTCTTGCCCATTTTTTAATTGGGTTGTTTGCCTTTTTGGTGTTCAGGTGTTGAAGTTTTCTATAGATTTTAGAGATAAGTCCTCTGTCAGATATGTCACAAGCAAATATTTTCTCCCAATCTCTTTTTACCCTTTTGATGAAGTCTTTCAATGAGCGTAAGAATTTAATTTTTAAAAGGTCCCAATCATCTAGCTTCTCTTTTACCTTCTATGCAGCCCGAGTTATGTTTGATAGTCTGTTTATACCATAAATTAGGGCTCTTAGATTTGCCTCTACTTTGTCTTTGATGAATTTTATAGTTTGAGGTTTTACATTTAAGTCTTTGATCCAATGTGAGTTTGTTTTTGTGTATGGGGCGAGGTATGGGTTTTGTTTCATTTTACTACAAGTGGATATCCAATTTTGCCAGCACCATTTGTTAAAGAGGATGTCTCTTCCCCCATTTAATGTGTTTTGGACCTTTATCGAAGATCATTTGTCCATAGATGGATGGATCTATTTCTGGGTTTTCAATTCTGTTCCATAGGTCTATCTATCATTGTACCAATACCACACTGTTTTGACTACTGTTGCTGAATAGTAGGTTTTAAGATCTGGGAGTATGAGATCTCCTACTTTGTTCTTCTTCTTCAGTAGTGTTCTGCTCATCCAAGGTCTCTTTCCTTTCCATATGAAGCAAAGAAGAATGAAGAAAACCAAAGATGCATGGAAACAATTAGTCCAAGGGACTATTACACCATGTGATCCTCAGCCTATATGACCATGAGATCAGAATAATTAGATGGTGCCCAGGTACCTCTGTCAATCACTCAGAAAGGGATCAGTGCAAGAGATCCTGGATACAGTGGGAGAACAATGTGGAACAAAACTCAAAATCATTAAAAAAAAAAAAGACCAGGTTTACTGGTCTTATAGAGAGCCTAGTGAGATCCCTGAGACTATGGCCCCTAGTTACTCTTCAGGTCCGGAACTGAACTCATGCCTGTGATATCCAGCCAATCCCATAGACAGGCATATAGGGTGAACATTTACATCAGGTAGATACACTCCTTAGAGGATTAATTGTGGGAGAATAGAAGGGTAGTGTCTGCACAGAGAGATAACTCAGGGGGCAGGGATGCATACGAAAGAAGGACACAGGGGAGAGGTGACTACAGGGAGGAAGTGGGAAGAAAGCTGTTACATTGTAGGGAATTATGGTCAATGTCATGAAACAAAATGTGTATGAACTGCTGTATGGAAAATGAATTTGCTCTGTAAATTTTCACCCAAATCACAATAAAAATTAGGAAAAAAAAAATATTGAGTGAGAAGGTCTACTGAAGGTTTTACACAGGCTCAGGACAACCCTTCAACTCTGAGAGATAAAAGTCTGCTCATTACAGACTAATGAAATTCTTTCAGGCTAACTCTAAGGAAACTGGGGCACCAGAAATCCTATGGTTCCTACACTTACCAACTTTTAAAAGATTCACATAACATCAAAGCATTCACATAAGAGGTCTTTCTTTAACCATGATGTGGCTTTGTGATCTGAGAGCAGTCACCAAGGTTCAGAGTTCATTGTAACTACCACAGAGTATTTCCACTTGTACAATGCTGTATTTATTTGAGTTTCAATGCAACAGTGCCTGAAGGCATTAAAATATCATTTTATGAATACTCTATCCTCTATTTTATCTTTAATAAGAAATTACTCATAAACCCCCTTAAATGAATGGAATATGTAGAAGGAGAGGGAAAAATATAGCTCACCTAAGTAAAATTCATATCAGTGAATCAAAATTTAATAAATTTTATGCACAAATTATCTATTAAGACACATACCAGCAGAGGTGCTTCCATTGTCTTAATAAATCGATGAATGTTCAGTGTTGTCAATGGCTGTTCCATTAGTGTTCTTCTACATTTCTGGATGAAGTCCAAGATTGGTTTACAATGAAAAAAGTAGAGATGAGCATGTTCTATATCTTCAGTACTACAAATGAAAAATTAAGGATAGATGTACTTAATCAAGTTCAATGGAGGATCCTTCTACCATCCAGAAAGGTAAAACACAACTCTATGTCTTAAGTTTCATAGTTTTTTAGTTACTATTTTGGTTAAAGTCTAAAAGAATAATATTATAATGAACTTATACACAAAAAAGAAGATATTAAAGAAAATAATATTTTGAGCAAACTACATGAGTTATAAAGCAACTATTGCCTAAATTCTTTCATATGACAGCTTCTAAATTAGGTTATAAACAAGTCCATATATACAAGTATGCAACATCTATTCAGAGAAAAATCCAACCACATATGTGTATGTGGTCTCATGAGGTTTTTTTAGAAGGAAAAGCAGCGCTCCTTTTGTTTATTATTCCCCTTAATGGTTTTAAAGACCTCAAACCCAGAATCTTGCAATATTAGACCTCGGGTGGGATATAGGCAGGTGAGGCAGAGGATATGGTTCTGGGTGCAAACTCAGGTGGGCTGAGTGGTGAGAGCTGCAAGGGCTGTGTTGGTCCTGCTGCTCAGGCAGGTAGAACAGCAGGCAGGACTAAGCATACTTTTCTCCCTCCTCACTGGGCTACTTCTCGCTCCACTCTCACTGCTGCCCTCCCAGTCATTGTCACTGCTGGTGCCTATTCATCCAGCCTCTGCTAGCAGCTCCAACAGTATCAGTGGCAAGGACAACCAAAGGCAAGCTTCCATAGGTTTTAGTATGGTGTTCACACAATGTCCAAATCACATGTCATATTTCATAGAACGTAGAGTGGATGTTAAGTAATGCATACTTGTATGTTTATGTGTGTGGATATGTGCATGTATTTTAAATAAAAGGCTGTCACCTTATGTACAATGTGATGATCTTCAAATACAGTTGCTTCTCTAGAGCTATGCTAGATAAAGATTTGTAACACAAATTTTCTAGGTTTAATTTAAACTCAAAGCTGTTTTGAATAAACTTCAGCCAAAATATGCCTTAAGATAGAAACCATCTCACAGTTTGTGGGAGTTTGTGAGTGTGTATCTGCAATATAACAAAACTTAGCAAATAGGGCTTATAATTGGAGCTTTGGCATTCCCTTCAATATGGGAATTCAAAAATAAACTTGTAGTGGGGATAAGTTATGCCAAAATTAAAACAGCATTTTTTAAAATCTCCATATGGTGTTAGTAGAGTTTGGCAAAATACACCAAAATTTTATTTTTAATATGTTACTTTAATTCTCGATACATGCTTAAACTGAGCAAACAAGGCTCACTCAATTTAATTACAAGTAATTTGAAATAGGTTCAATGATTAAAGAAAGGCTCAAATATTTACTTAATGCCTACTATGTGTTAGGCCCTGTACTAAACTTAAGAGACAATGATGAATAAGACAATTCAAATCCCTGAGAGGCTCAAACTAAAGGAGATACATTTAGTAAATAATTAATAGATCAATATACAAAGTGGTATGAATACTTTGTATTATTTCATTCTGTCTCAAGTTGGGGAGGAAAGAGAAAAGAAAGAGAAAAGGAGATCATCACAGAACTTAAAACAGAGAAAGAGAGAGATGAATTCTCCATTAAGGCATGGCAAATTCAGCATTTCAGGAAAAAAAAAAGGAATAATATAACCAACTGCAATGAATGTATATAACTTTTGAGGAAAGCTTGAATAGTTACATATTGCTGGAAGTATTGAGAGTATGGGAACCCAGCTGAAGTTGGATGGTATATCATAACATCTCAATTAATAAATTAATTTTGGAAAAATATTTAATCAGGGATCATTTGGTTGCAGGTAACAGAAATTCATCCAACTAATTTAAGGGGGAAGAAAAAAGGAGAGGACTTATTGAAACTTTACAGAGGTATCTCAGAGAATAAAAGGGAAGCCCAACACAAGAATAAATGTTGAGACCTTGAACTTGTCATTAACACACTTCAAATGTTCGGATTCCTTCAGTCTTTTCAGCTCCCAACTCTCTCTGTGAAGATACCTCTTCTCTGCTTTACTTCTACATGGGAAAAAAAAATTCCTGTGTGCAAGACCAGGAACTGCATGTTCCAGTTTTTCCATGCCCAATTCCAAGGTCCTGAGATAGAAGATCTAGTTCACTCAGGTAACCCAATGGATTGGCTAGCCCTAGGTCACAAGTCCACCTCTGATTTAACTGACTGTGGGGCAGAGGTAATACATTCCTAACCTTGAACACAGATTCTGTAAGAAGGGAATATTGGGAGGTAGCACTAAGTGCTGGTGTTTCTACAGCATTCTACCTTCTACCCAATATATCCTTTCTTAATAGATACATAATTTCAGACATACTCAGACTCAAGATAATACAGCAATTAATACGGTAGTCTTATCTAGCAGAATGCCTAAGACACTTGACTGCTAACCAGAAGCCTGGCGGTTCAAACCCACCAGCCATTCCTCAGAAGGAAGGTTGGGCAATCTATTTCTGTAGTGATACCACCTCGGAAACCCAAAGAGGGGTCGTTATGAGTCAGGTCCAACTCGACAGCACATAACAACGACATCCAATGTTAAAGCCCTAGAACTGGAACAGTATCTAACACATAGAAGGCATTCAATAAACATCTGTTGAATTAATGAACAAGAAATGCATCTATCCCACCCTAATGTAGAGACAACACAAAGCCATAGACAGCTAGTTCATCCAGAAGTGATATAAGACTACTGTATTCAGAATCCATCGTTCTTCCATGTTACCATAACTCCTCACCATCTTGTTGTCTGTGATAAATGATGCTTCAAATATCCATCCCAAATACAGCACATATCAAAAGTACATGAAAGGGACTTTTGTCCAAAATGGCACCTTAGACACACCACTTCACCCCTCTACAGCAAAGACCCAAGGAACTAAGTGAAACACATACAGACGACAATCATGGAACCCTGAGCATCAAATGAAAGGATAAAGAATTAGATCAAACAAGGGCTGGAATAAGAAACTAAAAACAATGGACAAAAAGAGACAGAGTGGAGGGGCCCTGCCAGATCGTCCAGCATAGTGTGGCCATCTTTAGACAAAGACAGCAGCAATCCTGGGTGAGGAACATAGAAGGCAACTTCACAGAGTAGTACAGAGTAAGTGTGTAGACATACTGAGAAGAAATAAGGTCCCAACTGCTGGCTGCAGCCACAAGAAGAGCCCAGGCACCTTCACCCAGTGAGTAGAGGAGACTGCTACCGCTATGCCCACTGCCCCAGTGACTACTGGCACAAACAAGCCTATCCCTGCTGCCTGGCTGCCAGGGATCAAGGCACAAGTCCTTCCCTTTCTACCCCACCTAGCCTCAACTGACACCCTCCACCCCTGTCCTGACAGCCCTGCCCCTCCCACCCACCGACCCAGCTGAGTAGCAGCAGACCACTATGGCATAGCATCAGCTGCTCACCCCACCCTTCTCACTCATCACCCAACCAAACAGCACTGGCCGCTCACGCCACAAGCCACTCAGCCGACTTCTCTTGCTCGATGACCCAACTGAGTGGCAATGGTCACTCACCACCCCCCTAAGACTGATCACCTCATCCCTCAATCCTGACAACCCAGCCAAGTTCCCACCCACCCCCAACTAGTGAGAGGCAGCGGCAGCATGTACTTGCCCACCACTCCCTCCCCCTTCCCTCACCTGCTGCTCTCCTCACTCCCTCCACCCGCCCAGCAGGGGGCTACGAACATGTCATTGCATGCGCACCAGACTATCACTTACACACACCTACCACCATGTAAGAGATGAGAGCAGTGTGACTGTATGCACATTTGCCTGCCACTCACTCGCATATCCAGCTGGAGGTGGTAACCGTTTCCCCACTAGCCAACCACGTCTACCACACCTGCTACTTCACCTACTTGGTGAGTGCCAACTACTATCCCACCTACCCAGGGACAGCAGGTTAAGTGCTCCAGTGTGGCCAGACTAGTGACCAGAGCAGCATGCCCATCCCATCTGCCCAGATACATCAAAACATAACCAAAAAAAATCATACAATTAAAAATAAAATAAAACCTGAATGCCTCAAAAAACAACAGATAATATCAAATTTCCTAAAAGCAAGACAAGATGGCTCCAACAAGTGACCAAAATAAGGAATGAGGAAACATTCCTGAGGAAGAAATGGTAATATGGAACAACCTAATGAGGGATTCAAAAGACTTACTTCTCTCTCAAAAAAGTCATAGATATGGCCTTCTAAGATATATTAAAAAAAAGGCGGGGGGGGGGAACAAACACAACTCTAGAAAAATTCAGGAAAAGAATACAAAAATAAAATGGCAAAATAAGTACACAATTAAAAACCATGCAAAAACAGCAATTAGAAATCTAGAAGATTAACACTAAGATTTCAGAAATAGATAACACATTGGAAGGACAAAGGAGTAGAAGTGAATCAATGGAAGTAAGAATCAGAGAAACAAAGGGCAAATCCCTCAATACCAATCTATTAGAGAAAAAAATGAGGAAAAAAAATGAACGAAGAACTCTTAAAGAGTTATGTGGAGGATAACCAACATGTGACTATAATTCCAGAGCAGGAAGAGACCAAAAGAAAAAAGCACAGAGAAAGTTTTCAAAGATTTGCTGGCAGAAAACTTACCTTAGATCATGAAAAATGAGAAGATATTCAGCTAAGAAACTCAACAAACTCCAAATAGAATAGAACCCAAAAGAAAATCATGACACATCATAATCAAACTTTCCAAAACCAAAGAAAGAATCCTGAGAACAGTATGGAAAAACAAAATGTGACCTACAAATGGGAACCAGTTAGATAAAACTGATTTCTTGGCAGAAACCATGCAGGTAAGAAGGCAAAGGAATGACATAGAATCCTGAAAGAAAAAAAAAAAAAGAAAAAAAACCCTGCTAACTGAGAATTGTACATATAGCAAAACAGCTACTTCCTAGGCAGGCAGGAAATGGCCTCAGGACTAGGTATCCTGTTCCAACCCACTATTTGA